GATGATTTCACATATTTGATTTCTTCATATCTTTTCCAAATCTTTTCCATGTGCATTTTGTGTTCAATCAGCTCAAATCACACCAAAACTTGCCTATTTAAGATGTGCACGAAATATTGACCTTGGAATGTGCATAAAAAGATTTTTTTAGGTCAAACTTATATTTTTCATGTATTAAAATAATTTAAATGAATTAATATTAATATAAATTCAAATAAATAATTAAAAAATGAGAAAATACTTCCCTTTAGGCCTAATGGTCGTGCATAGGCTTGGCACGAAGAAACTTGGAAGCAAAATGGGCCCATTAGCAAATTTAGGCCTTTTGAAGTGATGTTGACTTTCAAAAATTTCCAAAAATTTCCCAACTTCAACAAGGCATAACTTGGTCAATTTTTAAGCTTTGCACATGTTCTTGGACATTTTTGAAAGGTCTTTGAGTCCTTTAACCAATGCCTTTGGTCCCATGTCATTTTGATTTACCAATCTCAAGTTATGGCCTTTGACTTAAAGTCCCTTTTTGTTGACTTTTGAAAATGACCTATAATGTTGAAATTGATAACTTTTTGTGAGAGCATTTCTTGGACTTGGAATATGAAGATGAGTTGTAGGAAATATCTTTCTCTTCAAAATGAGCTTTGGATGGAATTTTTCTGATAATCCATGTGAAAGTTATGCCCTGGTCAATTTCAGTTGACTTTTTCAGCTGTCCAAATATAGCAACTTTTGCATCTTTGATGATTTCTGAGCCAAATTTTGAGAATCATGATCAAGCATTGATCAAATGATGTTTGTGGCTTCAAAATGATATGTTGATCAAAAATTTGAACTTTTGACTGTCAAATGACCATTTTGCCCCTACAGTTGACTGTAGTGCAATCTAGGGTTTTGACTGTGCAATTTTGAGCTGAATGCCTTGAAACTTGATATGAGGATGCTTGACCATCTTTGTAGGCATATGAGACTTGATTGGGCCTTTGAAATCTTCATTTTCTTGATCGGAATACAAACCCTAGTTTTGACTGTCTAGGAGACAGTTGAGCTGCACAACCCTTGGGGAATTTTGTGACCTTGACTTGACAAATCTTGGAGAATATGGGAGGGCAAATTTTGGGGTACAACACCTACTATCTAGGTTCCTTCTCACAGCCCTACTATCCAGGTTTTCATACCGAAGTAACCCCACTATCTAGGTTCCTTCTCACAGCCCTACTATCCAGTATTTCATACCGAAGTAACCCTACTATCCAAGTTCCTTCTCACAGCCCTACTATCCAGGCTTTTCATATCGAAGTAACCCTAATATCCAGGCTTTCATACCGAAGTAACCCTACTATCCAGGTTCCTTCTCACATCCCTACTATCCAGGATTTCATACCGAAGTAACCCCACTATCTAGGTTCCTTCTCACAGCCCTACTATCCAGGCTTTCATACCGAAGTAACCCTACTATCCAGGTTCCTTCTCACAACCCTACTATCCAGGCTTTCATACCGAAGTAAACCTACTATCCAGGTTCCTTCTCACAGCCCTACTATCCAGGCTTTTCATATCGAAGTAACCCTACTATCCAGGTTCCTTCTCACAGCCCTACTATCCAGGATTTTCATATCGAAGTAACCCTACTATCCAGGTTCCTTCTCAAAGCCCTACTATCCCGGCTTTCATATCGAAGTAACCCTACCATCCAGGTTCCTTCTCATAACCTTACTATCCGGATTCTTCCTCTCTTATCCCTGGACAACAGTCCACAACACTGTAAGACCGGGACCCGATCAAACACAATTGATTTCACACTTCCCCAGAAAGTCGCGATGCAGCATATACCCCGACCAAACACATAGTTCACTTCCGCTTTCCAAACCGAAATTATTCCCCAGTAGAGTAACAGACAACTGAAGCTCCTAAAACTCTATTTCTCTCAAGATAGAGACCAACGAAGTCCTCCTCAACAACAGGTATACAGGATCTCGCCAAGGAATCTCTTATGCGATCGAAACTTCTTCGGATGGCATCTTTAAGCCCATATTCCATCATCGACTTCCAAATGGCATCTGTAATCCCATTCTCGATATCAGAAATCAAGTATCACTTCATGCGAGTGAAAATTTCTGGGCACTCTAGTGTTCAATCATCTTCCACCTTCAGATCACGAAAGGCAGACGAGCCAATCTACATCCTTAGGTTTAAAAAGATTGAACAGGGGAAGCTGTTGTACCTAGGGATGGAAAGCAGACCCAAACCCGCGGGCCCCACCCGCACCCGCACCCGAGTCAACGGGTTAAACCCGAATTGACTGGGTTTGGGTTTGGGTTCGGGTGCCACCCGATATTTCGGGTGTGGGTTTGAGATAGCTTAAACCCGCACCCGAAACCCGAAACCACACCCGCTTATATGTTAAATTACAAAACTATCCCTAAATATATATATATTTCAATAATTAAAAATAAAATGTAGGGTTTACAACTTTCAACTTTCAAGTTCACGCAGTCACGCTCACTTCACTGCACCCACCGGCCACCGTCATCGTCACCTACGCCACCTCCGTCACCTCCGTCACCTTCGTCACCTCCGTCAGACCGTCACCTTCGTTAGTTCATTTCTCCGTCTCCTTCACCTCTTCACCGGCGCCTACAAACTCCTCTGTCATCTTCTTCATACAATCCTCTTCTCGCCATTCTCCAAAGGTACATGAATCACTCATCCATAGCTATTAATCAAAACGCAGCACCTCCATCAAAAACAACAAAATCCCCCCTTTTCTCTTTTGTTGAATCAGAAAGAAACAAATTGGTTTGGACTGAAGTAACACTCAACTCAATCCATCGTACAAACGAAAACCTCGCCGGAGTACCTCGTTGACCGCCGTAACAGCCAGAAACTCCGCCAGAAGGTTTTCCTTCTATATCTTGCTTATTTTTCTTTTCAGATTTTCATTCCTCACTGCGATTTGTGGCCACCATAGATTGTTACACGTTTCTCGTAAATTTTGTGAATCAATTTTACTATGCATTGCTTCTTTCAATTTTCTAGTTTTTATTTGTAGAATTGCACATTTTGTATATATTTCTGGTATATAGTCTCACATGAAAATCTACATCATATGCTGGAATGGATTCACATCCGAATAACCGTTCTGATTCAATCAATGTTTTTAAAAATTGGTTCGACATGGTGAATTGTGAATAGTTTTGTTTGGATTCGGGCGATTTAAAGCATTTGAACTTCTGTCTATCATATGCTAGACTGACTGCAGTTTACACAATTCTATCACTTGTAAATAACTTTTTCATGTTAATGATTTGTTATGAATGATCTGGATTATTGTAAGTGCCTAGCGTTCTTATAAACAAGGGATTTCACTATTGTTACCATATAGACTCGATATTCGATAGAACAAACAAGAAGTTGAATTCAGTTTGCGTTTTGTCTATGTTTTAATGAAAACTGAATTCTGAAAAACCCAAACACTCTATCTCTGTAGTCAACTTGTTCTCCGTGAACTTTGAAATCAGCTAAAAGATTGAGACCGATTGACTTTGATTCCAACAATAGCAAAATTTGTTGGCAGAGAATCTGGAATTTGATGAGCAGAGTGTAGAAGGTTGAGTCGAAAGAAGCATAACATCTTCCAATGGATTGGGAACTAGACTGTCTGTCTGTCATTACTACTAGCTAGGAAAGTCATTTTTATTTGTTGTTTGATTAAATATCAGCCAAACCTATTCAGGATATCCTCTGTTTGCTAAAATATACCTACCATCTGTCATTCACACACTAAAAGGTACATGAATCACTCATTTTTATTGTGTTCTAAATATGTTTTGATATTCTGTGCTACCAGCCAAAGTTGTTTTCTCCAAACACCAAACTCCGCCTTCTTCTATAAAATGCACCCTTTGCAAGGCTTTCTTTTTTCTCCCACTCTTCAACTCTTACAATTATTATTGTTTGTGCATTCCCTTGGGTTATATATTTGAATCACCGTTGGTAGGTACATTTTTCTACTCAAAATGAATTTTTTATTGAAGAATTCACTAACCAAAATCTTTTAATTTTTGTCTCTCAGCTTGAGACACTCCTAAAGTTTTTCTCGGTTCCAGCATATCGAAACCGGGTGTTGAAGGAGTACATTGCAGCAATTTTGCACACTTAAGGCAAGGCTAGATCCTTTGTCAATAAAAGCTTAGAATTATCAACTTGTATGATATTTATTTACTCTTTTGTATACTTCTATATCAGGTATTTTGTTAGAAGGACGCGACCAGAATATAGAAGCTCTCAATGCTTCTATTAATGTTGCACTAATTAAATCAAACCACATTCCTAACAAAATCTTAATGATTGCTTTGATTCACAAAATGGGTACAAAGGCGTTGCCTGCTGTAAAAAGCATGTTGTCTGATGCACTTAAAATAGAACCAAACAATCAGATGCCTTGGTATTACTTGGGATTGGTTCACAAGCACGATGAAAGTTTCAACACTTTTTTTGAATATTTTGGTATTACTTGGTATTGAGTGATGTTGCAGACTACTTTCAGGCAGCTTCAATGCTGGAAGAATTAAATCCCGTTGAAAGTTTCAGCACTTTTTTTTGAATATTTTGATTTTGGAATGGTTGATTCTGCAACATGTAGTAAGATCTATACCATTATGATTTTTGGTTAATACAAGAAGACACAACAGAAACAGTTTTAGCAAATGGTTTCCCTTTTTTTTATTGATTTGTCATCACAAATTAGGCTTAAAGAAAAGAAATTGAAATTTTATTTAGAAAATAAAATGAATTGTAAAGAACTTTGATCGGCATAGATTTTTTTTGTAACTCAATAGCTGCTCAACCATGTAAATGTATGTTGTTACTTGTTCAAACATAATCATTGTTCCAACCTGTGAAAGTAGAGATTCATTTTTCTCCAACTGTGTTGGTTTCTACTATTTTGTTATTTTCTTGAAGTGGGATGTTTATGAAATTTCTTGTTGTTTGTAGTAGGTAAAATGGATCAAGTGAACACAACCCCGGAACCAGAAGGAGCATCTAATCCTACACAAGAAAGTACATGTCCAACTCAGGAGGTATCTTCTAATCCGAATCCGACACCTGAATCTGATATTGGGCAACAAGAAGAAATTGATACAATTTTAGAACCTGCATCAAAGAAACTTAGAAGTAATGTGTGGCAAGAATTTAAAAAGATGAAAGTGAATGGAAAAGATAAGGCTGAATGCATCTAGTGTAAAAAACAACTTAGTGGCACTTCAAAGAATGGAACAAATCACTTGAAAGGACATCTCTTGAGTTGTATTAAAAAAAAGATCAAGACTAGAAACCATGACAAAGGACAACCATTTCTCCTACCGACTATCTCAGAAGGAAAGCAAGAGTTGGGAATTGGAACTTATGATCCAGAACATGTGAAGAAGTTGATTGCTGAAGCTATTATTATGCACGATTATCCACTATCAATTGTGGATCACATTGGTCTTAGAAGAGTCTTTGTTTCTCTCCAGCCATTGTTTAAAGTTCCTACTCGAAACACAATCAAGAAGGAGGTATTGAAAGTTTATGATTTTGAGAAAAAATGTGCTATGAAGATGTTAGATAACCATGAAGGGAGAGTGGCAATTACCACAAATATGTGGACTTCAAGCAACCAAAAAAAAGGGTATATGGCGGTTACGGCTCACTATATTGATGGCTCGTGGACTTTACAGAGTCGAATCTTTAGGTAACAATGTTTATATTTTATAACTTAATTGTATCTTTTTTTTTGTTCTTAATGACAATAAGTGAAAGACTTGTTTTTTGTAAATATTATGTTAGGTTCATTTATGTTCCAGCCCCTCACACTAGTGAAAGACTTGCTGAAGCACTTGTTAATTGTTTAATGGACTGGAACATTGATTCAAAGCTTTCTATGATTACTTTAGATAATTGTAGCACAAATGACTCAATGATTAGGAAAATTAAGGATAAGTTGTCGTTGGAATGTTTAATAAGGGATGGGTCTTTGTTACATATGCGTTGTTGTGCGCACATCCTAAATTTAATTGTTCAGGAGGGGCTACAAGTGATTAAGGATGGCATAGAAAATATTCGGGATAGTGTAGGATTTTGGAGTGCTACACCTAAAAGGTATGAAAAATTTGAAGATACCGCTAGACAATTGAGAATTATTTGCACTAGAAAGTTAGCTCTGGATTGTCCAACAAGATGGAATAGCACATATAAGATGCTTGATATTGCCATAGAGTACAAGGATGTATTTATTCGGTTGAAGCAACGTGAGTCTTTGTACACTTGTCTTCCAACTAATTCACAATGGCAATTTGCTAAAGATGTTTGTGGATGCTTAAAATTATTTAATGAAGTAACTGAGTTGATTTCTGGTACAAAATATCCAACTGCCAACTTGTACTTTCCTAAGATTTGTAAGATTAAGTTGGCAATAGAGGAATGGAAGAAGTCCTCCAATTCAATTATTGAGATGATGGCCACAAGAATGATGGAAAAATTTCAAAATTATTAGAGTGGTGTTCATGATATGATGGGAGTTGCTGCAGTTTTGGATCCTAGGAAGAAGATGGTTGTACTTAATTTCTGGTTTCCTAAGTTGTATGGAGAAGAATCAAGTGCAAAAGTTAGTAGAATCAAAGACATGTGTTATGATTTGCTCAATGATTATCAATAGATTAAACTTAGAGATGCACAACCTACTGCTCCATCCATTGGTACAACTGCTATTATTGATGACGAGGCTGAATTTGATGCATACGTTGAGACAATTGCCGTTGCCGAAGACTCAAGTTCAAGTGTTAAGTATGAGTTAGATCATTATTTGAAAGAGCCAGTTATAAAAAATACTCCAGAATTTGACATTTTGAATTGGTGGAAGGTAAATGGAGTTGTGTATCCAACACTTCAAGCAATTGCAAGAGATGTGTTAGCTATTCCTATCTCTACAGTAGATTCTGAATCGGCCTTCAGTAATAGTGGTAGAATATTGAGTCCTCATCGTAGCCGACTTAACTGGACTACCGTAGAGGCTTTGATGTGTGCTAGGAGTTGGCTATGGGCTGCTGAGAATAACAGTATGTCATTGTCAAATTATTTTTACTTTCTACCTTAATTTTTTTGTTATATAATGTATTACTACTTTGGTATGTCATTGACAAATAATATATTACTAATTTTTCTTGTTATATAATATATATAGGAATTTTTAGAGTTGTAGAAGAAATTGCTACTATGTTGAATGAAATGGAGTCAGACGATGAAGGTATTTTGTACTTCATTTGGTGTAGAAGTTTTAAGCTTTAGTGTTTTATTTAACATCAATTTATTTGTTAATACAGCTAAGTTGATGGAAGGTTGTTTGGGTTACCATTTTGAAGATTAGAAGTTGTTGTTTCTATATGTTAACATGGTGAGTATTATTGTTTCTATCTTCCACCATTGTTGCCCCGACTAATTTTCACTAATGCTTTTGATATTAGACAGTTCTTTTAGTGTTGTGCTTATGTTTCTAGACAGTTCAAAAACATGATATTTAACGCGCATGCAAGCATGCTGAAAGTTAGTAGACAAACATTATTATAGGCAGTTTTATTCCAGTTGCAAACATGATAAATTATCAAGAAAATGGCATGTTAAAATTATTACAATTTAAAAGCGATATGTTATCTGTGTTGTAAGCTATTACATCTCTGTATGTATCAAGAAGTGGTCTAAAGGATTCTTCTTATTACAATTTAAAAGTTCAGCATTACTGTGATACGGTGGGAGAACTGACTAGTGTTTTGCGTTCATATTCGCACTTGTGCGGTTGAGCAAGAGTCGCCACCGACTTTTTATTTTATCCTAAAGGAAAGGTTAAAAAAGCACAGCAAAAACCTTTTGAGATGTTTTCTTGGGTTCGGGGGGTAGATTATGAAAAGGGAAGGTATTAGCACCCTTTTCATCCATGGTTATCCATGGGCTCTTAGTTACTTGGTTTTTTAGATCACTTGCCTTGTTTTTCGATTGCTTTGAAAATGGTGTGTGTGTGGATGCTTTTTGAAAATGTTTTGGAAAAAAGATGCCTTGTCTTAGGCAACTAATGTATTTGACTCGTGTTTGAGTGTTTTACAAAAGTGTGAATCTTTTCGAAAAGATGTTTTCAAATGTTTTTGAGAGTTTGTTTTGAAAGTGTTGTGGATTGTGGTTTTTGAAAAGAAGGCAAGTGTTTTTGCAAGTTTGATCTCAAGTAACTAAGAGTTTTGTCTACCCTATTGTACTCGATGGTTTTTTGTCATGTTTTAACCCCTTTTAACAATTTTGTTCTACCATTGAAATTGGTAGACAATCTTGCGTTTAGGAAGTTTATTCGGGACGGGCGCGGGTCATCGTATGGACCATGAATGCAATGGTGCCAAGTGTCTTTGGCAATTTGCTTTGAAGGGACTATGATCATTCCGTTTTAGGCAACATTCGAAAGCGTCATCGAGGGACTTATGATCATTTGATTTTGTTTTGCCAAAGATACTCGGCGTGCAAGCATGGCCTACTTTGGAAGGCAACATGTGGGATTACCCTAGGGGGTGCAAGTGTGATTGTGTATTGATTACATGTATTTGTCTTGTATTAGGTTATCTAGCGTTTGATTTTATGTACATACAAACCCTAGGTCTAACCATGGTATAATTGGAAAACTGTAAATTGCGGAATGTAAAATCTACGCTATCACAAAATAGTGTCCGGGAGTGGGGGTATAAATGTACAAAAGGGGATGAGACTTATAGTATCCAATAAGTTACAACCAAATCGAATGCGCGATCAAATGTAAATATCGAATATACAAATATAAGATAAAAATGTGTATAGGGCAATGTGAATGCATTGTGTAAGTGGAAGTGTGAGATGTATATGTATTGTGTGATTATTTACAAGTGCGAATTATGGAATTGAAACGTATTAGGGTTTGACCTAGAGAAATGTTTTGAATGAAACTTTGATTTATATGGTTAATTATGTACAAAAAGAAAAATGTTCAAGTTTGAATTAAGAAATGTCTCTTTACTTGTTTATATACAAAAAAGTATTTAAATGTCAAGAATTGAGTTTTGTATAAAAAGAATGTATTTTTTTATATTGTTATGTACAAATGTATATTTTAACTAAAAGAGTTTCAATTTTAATTATGTATGAAAAAAATGTATAATATGTACAAAATTAATATTTCGAAATTTATGTATAAAGTATATAAAAAAGGATTAATCTTAGAAAGAGAAAGTATTAGTTTGTAAGAAAGTATTTTAATAAAAATGAAATGATAAGAATAAATCATAAAAAGAAAAAGTTTAACATTTTAATTATCTCTTCTTGATTATATTGGTATAAAAAGTTTTTATTAGTGTAAAGAAAAGAAAATGAAGTGAAGTTAGTATATAAAAAATGGTTAATAGTAAGATGTTAATTAGTGTTGGTAGGAAATGAATGGGCTTCAGGGAAATTCCAAAACGGGTCAGGCCCAACGCTGGAAACGAATTCTTTTAGGGTTCGCGTTTGTTTTCAATTGGGAACGAAATCTAGGGTTCGTGTGGAAATGGCGCCATTCACTAATTTCTGCTCATCTTCGTCTTCTACGCGAGCTTCTAAGCTAAGCCTCTCTGCCTGAGCCACCCCGCTACCGCCTCTTCTCCTCTCATACGGACTAGACAGTCCTCAAATGACGGTTAGTGCATCGTTTCGAATTGGTTTAGGCGTTTTGTTTTAGATTCTTGCATGTCATAATTTATGTGCTCTGATCTTCGTATTTGCTGTGTTTGTTTTAACAAGGTGATGAGAAGAAAGATGAGGAAGGAAATATACTACCTTTGATGTGGAGGAGAGGACGAGGAAGCGCTTGAGGAGGCTCAGTGGTGCAGAGGAGGCCGGGACGGCGTGAACGGCGACGAGTCTTTGCTTCTTGATGCTTTCCTGGTATTTTCGTTCTTACCTCTTGCTGCGTGAGGGTTTTATGATGTTTTTAGATTTGCCTGAAAACCCTTCTTTCTAATTCACTTCCTTATCTTCTTCTTCTTGAACACTATTGCTTATGACGCTTTGAGATGCCCAGTGATGCTTTCTCTCTTCTTCTCTCGTTGCCTTTGCTTACGTGCTTGACGCTATATGATTTGATTTGTTCCCCCCCATGATGAACTTACAGTTCTGAGGGGTTCGTATTTGTTTCCTATATGCTTGAGATGTGCCTTTC